AAAAAAAAAAAAACACTAAAATGTTAGCCACTTAGAAGAGAAATTACATCTTTGTAAGGGGTAGGATCACGGTCATTTAAGTGTACATTGTCCGATTTACCCATCTACTACCTATAAATTTGTAAGGATCCTGCCTTCAGGGAAAAGAGGACAGAAAAGTTGATGGGGACTTTCTATAGAAGCCAAGGAAGTCAAAGATAAATCATCTTATTAACTGGAAAATAGTGAGCAGTTGTGTAACGAAAAATATAGAAAAAGAAAAGAAAAGGAAGAAGAAAGAAATGTTTCAGCAGAGGTTTGTGGAAGAAGAAGAGAAGGGAAGAGAGAAGAGAAGACTTCGATCCTTTCTCTCCAGCCCCCCCCCCCCCCCCGATGTCTTTTATTCTCTTAATTCTAAACTGAGTACAATTCCCTGGATGCCCTTAATGGGATGGCCAACACTAAAAAAATAATAAAACAAAACAAAGGCCCATAACTAAGGCATAACCGAAAGAACATAAACTTAAAAGAAATAAAGACACTAATGCCCATTCTCAATACACTCCCCCTCAAGCTGAGAATAGATGTCAATCATGCCCAGCTTATAGGGCTGTCAATGGGTCGAGTCTGACCCAACAAACCCGATGGRACCGAACTGATTGTATCAGTTCTGGTTCCAGAACATAGACCGGTGGGTTGGTTCCGGTTCCCATTTTCTGGTCCCGATTATTATTGGGTTGGTACCAGTTCTGCTGTCCTGAACCGATGCATATTACATATATATGTGTGTGTGTATTAAATATATAACATATTAATAAATTTATATGTAATATTTAATTTCTTAATGTCTTAAAGGGTCATTTCACTAAGGTTTTGAAATAAACCCTAAAACAAAACAATCAAAACGCCAAAACTTTTCATTTCCCTCCCCTGAGTGTGCATACGCAGAGGAAAGAAATGTCTCTAAAGAAGTAGATGTTGTAACAATAGACTCTAGATGACTGATTATTCGGCCATACTTTTCATACTCAGCCCTGGCAAGTGCAAGTTTCTTTCCCACTGATTTCCCACAACTCTGCCCCTGTACATTCTATGAGAGGTGGCTACATTTGCATTTCCACCTTTTCCATTTCAATCCTCTTTCCATTGTTTCCATTCTTGAGTCTGGTAGGAATGAGCTCTGAGTGCAGCTTCCAACAAGTGTCTTTAGTATGTTTAGGCTTCTTGCAACACTCACAAATAATATGTTTCTTCCTAGTGTTGACCTTCAGCTTCATCTCGGCATTAGCATAGTGATCAACCTACAGCTCTATAGACTGAATCTGTCTTCTACTCTCCTTACTACTCACCATAGTATAAGCTTGAAAAGAAAGTCACCTCATCCTTTGCCAAAACATTTTGCCTCACATTATCACACTCCATGTTGAGTCCGATGAGGAACTCAGACCCGATTTCTCTCCACCAACTTCTTGTGTATTCTGGCATACTTTGTACAACCCCAAACAATAGTCTCCATCAAATCAGTCTCCTGCCAAAGAGATTTCAACATGGAGAAGCAAACAACCAAGGGCTTCTCCCTTTGTCTTAGATTATTCACATCATTCTTCAATTTGTAGGCCCAGGCAACATTCAGCTTTTGGAAATAGATCTCCGTGACACTATCCCACTCTTTTGCATTTCCATCCATAGGTAGTGTTGACTAATATGTGGCTGCATAGAATGCACTAACCAACCCACTACTGTGTAGTTTTCCTGCATCCACCTTTCATAGGTAGGGTCATCCTTTACCGGTTCCATTTTCCTCTACTACATACGTATTTTAATTGATTGAGACCAAGCTAAATAATTGGTTCCATCCTATTTCACAATGGTCAATACCCCCAACAGAGTCTCCACTCAATTTGCTCCATTGAGTGAATAGATGCAAACGAAAATCAAATTATAGTTTTACTAAGCTAGATTTGCTAGTCCAAGCAAAGAACAA